GGTAGTCGCGCATACGGTGTCCTAATGTCAGCTTTTTCCACGAGTAGAGGACGTGAGTCACAAGCTGGGGATGCTAGCGTATTTGTCGTCCTGCAAGTTCGAACTGCTGCGCCCACCGCCGCGCGTTGCGCCGCGTTCGACGGCGCAGGAAATTACGATGATTTTAGCCGTCTCCCGATTAGAGCATGCTAGTATTATAAGCAGCGGAATGTGGTTCAGTGACTGTAAGTCGCTTGATAGGTGTGGGGGCAGTGAACAGTCCTGTGCCAGTTCGGGTTCGAACGAGATTATGCTGTTGACTCAAAAGAGCGGTCCGCGATGCCCTGTGAAAATGCAGAAGACGTTATGGGAAGGTAGCGTGGTCCGCAGTGAACAATCCTGTGCCAGTTTTACGGCCGAAAGTTAAGGTGTAGGAGTTATGCTGCAAATTTGCTCCAGTGGTACCTCCCTTTTTCCAGTGACTCCGCCTCCAGACCCCGCCTTCAAAGCCTGCCTTCCAGCCAAAAGCGATGCTACCGGACAAGTAGCACGAAATGGATGCTACATTGTCTCTTGTGGGGTCATAGGGTTCATTACAAGGAGTCGGCAAACTGAAGTCGCCGCAAGCGGTTTTTTTGGCATTTCACCCGTGCAATTGTTTGAGGCTGAAGGGTCATATTAAAGGTGTTTCGCGTTCCTTTGGCATTTTCTCCTCACGGACGAGTCACTCGGCAACTTCCCCTCCACATTTCGCCGCCAACACCTACGCTCCTTATCGCGGGCTGTGCCTTTAATTGTGAAGAGAAGAGCAGAAGAAATCCGAAATTGTCCCGAATAGGGGCCGGTTGATTTCTTGCACTGGACGAGCATACGGTCTATTGATGCACAGCCACAATTAGAAACTGGACAGGCTAGGGTGAGCGCGATGTTGTCGCATACGGAAGGAGAAATAAACGGAGTGTAGTAGGTGTACCATCAGTACTCGACATGGGAAGAGTTCTGGCACAGTTTGCTTTGGGGAAGGCTTGTGCAGGCTTTCTTGTGAAAACCTTCAAATTATTGTAACCAGGGTGGCTCACATGTACCAATTCACAGCTTAGACTTTTCAGGGTCCTTCCGTAAGGCCTGGTAATTAACGAGATCCAGTAAAAGGAACTAGTGGTCTGGTGCGATGCCCTCTCCTTTCTCTAAGCCGATCAGCAATGGAGGTTCTGACAATGTTCTGACATTGCAACCTTCTAGCGCCTTCGCCACGCACTTATGGGTGGTCAAAGTGGCACACTTCTACGACTACGGACTAGTGCTCCTTGTACTTAGCGAAGATCCGATCTTGATGAAATCGTGCCATGTGTCTATGAAGAATAAAAATGATTGTTGCATACAGTTGCTACCTAGAATGGGTTTTGCTGAGGCAAGTGGACCGGGGAGGAAGGCGGATCCGTTTTGGAGCTTGACGAGCAGCAACCGTTCCCTCTGCTGATTCAGAAACTGGATGTGTGGGCACCTGTTTTAAGGACATCTCTACCAGTGCCAGTGTTGCTCACCAGGGAATTCCGCCAACTTACCATGGGACTCTGAATGGAGACCTGGGTAGATCGATAGAGTCTATAAAGTTATAGTAAATATAGATAGCAAAACTGCAACCTGCATTTCACAAGCAACTTATGAGCATGCAAAGTTTGGTGTGGTGCAGCAGGGTGGAGGCTTGGTGATGAGCTGTGAAGCATAAGCGAGAATCGCATACGTCGATCGAGTCGTGGTGGTTCAGTGGTAAGGTTCGACGTTCGACGACTCGATTCGACGTATGCGATTCCTCGCTTATGCTTCACAGCTCACCACCAAGCCTCCACCCTACTGCACCATTACAAACTTTACCTGCTCATAAGTTGCTTGTGAAATGGCAGGTTGCAGTTTTGCTTTCTGATATTGGTATTAACCTTATAGACTCTATCAATTTACCCAGGTCTCCATTCGAAGTTTCACGGTAAGTTGGCCGATTTCTTGGTTAATTTTGCTAACACTCAGCCCACTCATCAGTTTCCGACAGATATGCGACTGTTCAATGATTGGGATGGTCTTTTAGGATGTCGCCTCAAAAAAAAGGCGCCGGCTTCGAAGGATGAATTCTATCGCTCAAAATTTTTTGGAATTTACAGCGCAAATGAAGTTTCAATGCAGAGAAATGGTATATGTAGCGAAACCTTTTGCGATAAGCTTATAGGCGGAGGAAACAACATTGCTCCCCCCCCCCCTCATTGGTGTACCCTCTCTACCTCCTATGATCGAAAGCTCTCATAAGTGGAGAAATAACTGGTTAGCGTCACTTTACGGATTTATGACCTTTTTCTTTTTTCTGCGGATTTTATTTTAAATCTGAAGAGTTTCTTACGTTTTAAAACTAAGTTATTGTTATACAATACCAACCTCGATCTCTTATACAGTAATTGGTGATATTTCAGATCGTGTGCGGGTGCTTGAAGCGAATAATCAAAAATTGTCGAGCCAAGTGAAGAAACTTCAAGAGATTGTGGGAAATGGAGCTCATGCGGATCTTTCTGTAGTACACTAGGTAGCTATACTATTCATTACATGCCATATCGCGGTGATGGCAGGGCGTGGCTGCGCATGTCGCCCTCCCTTTAAAAAGGTGGCGTTGGCTGCGCGGCTCTCTGATCGGATATGGCATGTCGCTGACAAATGCCAGCCACTGTCTTTGTTTAGCACAAGACATAGGTGAAAGTGCCTTGGCGCAGTGGAACGATGCGCTGCGGGAGGGGGGGGGGGGGGGTTGCTGCCAACGTCATTGGTGGAAGAGCTGAATGGGTGGCCATACGCCCTCTCACAGCCCTTCCATAAGTGACTTTGGCAGCGAGCGCTCGCCCCCAGCCATTGCGCCCACTTTGATTGGAGGAATCTCGCGATAACCTATCCTCCGCCGTGTTCAAGCGAAGTACCCAGCCACGCCTTTCCCATCTTGGTGATATCGAATGTGGCAAGTTTTTCCTACAAAACTAATCAATATTTGCAGCAGAACGTCTCCGCCGTCACCTTTGCCAGAATCTTCTATCTATACATTCAATACCCCTTCGAGGGATGGCTGAACATGCAGTCGGTCTGGCGCCGTTCGTCCACCGTTCTTTTGGACCTCCAAGTCATTTCCGTACCGCCTCGCCCAACTGTGCGCTTCGGTCGTTTCTCTGACCTAGGTCTGCTTGATGAAATGCGTGTATGCGCCGCTTCTTTCGTGACTCCCCCGATCCCGGAGGGGTGTCGTTGAGTTCTAATTTTTACTTGAGCATCTTGTGTGATCTCCGGTGCGGTTGCATTAAAAGAAAGAGCGGCGGCGATCCAATTTGTTTTTCTTTGTGTTTTGTGCGTGTGTGTTTACTTTTTATGTTTACTTTATAAAATACTGATTGTTTTAGTATTGTTTGCTGTGAGCATAATTCAAAGTTTTTCTATAAATGCCTATTCTATATTCATTTATTGTTTTAGAGTCTATTATATATTGAACGTGCAAACGCCACATTACCTGTGATACATTTGGACACTTTTAGTGATCATTGATCCTATTGATTGATTGATTGTTTTGCTTGTTCTATGGAGGGTTGTGATTGCATGAGTGAAATTTGATTTCTTCACTGCAAACCATTTTTTACTCCTTGTATAGCAGTAATTTTTGATTCTCATTTGTTTCTCTGTGCTGAAAGTGATCCGCTGGTCGCGCAGTGCTGAACACTGCCGTTCGGGCGTTTATTACCTTTTGTAATGTGAGAGTTTTTCATCAAAACTTTTCCCCGTTCCGTTTTCCTTTCTAAATGTA